TAATTTCTTTCATAATTCATTTTCAACTTTCTCGCTTACTGCTAAGTCACAGTTTCAGAAAGGTACCACAAGCCAGTGCTGGCAGGGCTCTATCTGTCAATCTGTGCCCTGGGGACACACGGGGTCCCTACAAGAGCAGCCCTGTCTCCTCTAGATCTGCCTAGCACTGATGGTACAGGAGTGGCACTTGAGGAAGACATTAGCCAGGGAAGGAAAACCAGGAGGGTCAGTGCTTGTCTTCCTAATCTAAAAAAGTAAAGCAGCTCTAGCCATCTTACTGTACTCTCAAGAAGACAAGCATTTACATCATGTCACAAGGGGCCTTCTTCACTAATATAGTCAGAAAACACTGTTATTTGGAAAATCTGATTGCATACAATTGAAGCTCTCCAGTTAAACACAAAAATAGCCCTGAATAAAAATCAGTGTGAAATATGAAAAAACAACAGAATGTTTGTAGAAGTAGAGCAACAGGGCCTAATACTCAGCATCTGAATAGTACCATACTGCAAACAACAAACAATAACAAGAATTCAGCTTCACAGAAAAACTGGAAATCTCAAAATCAGATCATATTCAGCTTTTATGCATCTGAAGAGCTGTATGCATACCAGGAAACCTGATCTAAAGACAGTCATAATTGTGCATATAGACAACTTTGAACGTGCAGAATAATCAAGAAAAAACCCAAAGAATCAGTGCGGATGACTTGATCAATGCAGAAAATAAAATCGAAGGACAGAAGGAGGGAGGAAAGAAAAGCTGGAAGCAAATCATCACCTCCTGCTTTATTCTGGATTAGTTTGCACAATTTGGTTCTTATTCTCCACAGACTTACAGGTGTGTTTAGTTGCAAACTTCTGACAAATTCAGGTAACATCAGTGAGACTGCTTGTCTAATAAATGTATCCAATAGTTGCTTACTATTCTGCAGAATAAATTCTTGCATTGTCCACATGTGTCCATTGCATAATGGAGACTGAAATATCAGCCAAGTAAATATGAAAACATTAGAATTATGATGCAGGAGTACAAATAGTGTCGAAAACTGGGACTAAAACTAGAGTCCATGTTCTTTGTGTAGGGAGTTCTTTTGCCTGTTTGGCCCCTACAATAATGGGAACCTGTAAATGCTCAAAGCTCCGAGGTGACATTTCAAAATTAAGAAAACCTTTGCTGTGATATTTGTGCATTGACACGTGAAGCTGTGCCTTCACGAAGGTGTACATGCATATTTGCAGGAATTGCCACCTATCACCCAGTCCTCATAGGCCTTACATCAGAAATTTAGGATAGTGTTATAAAGCCAAGTCATTTACTCCAGTGATTCAAATCCCAGTAAATCAAAGCACATAAGTGAGCCTGTGTATAAATGTGACAAGCACTGATCACCCTGAAAGTCAGGACAGATGGTTTTTGTAATTTGCTTCTGGGTGCTGAGTTAAGGTAATATCATGATTTGTGACTTACTCTCATCTGAACACACAGCTGGTGTCAAGACTAAATGAAAACTGTTTTGTTATTCTTTCTCACTGCAAACCTGAAACATGATCTAATTTACGTATTGAAGATAAAAGTGCTTTGAAGAGAGGCTGAAAGGTCCTCTGCTCATCGCAACATCTTTTAAAACGTCTTTGATTTCTTGATGAACCACTGAGATATTTAAACAGCTTCAGAACTGCAGCAGAGTTGTCTGGGTTGCATCCCTTCAGCTGCCATTTAAAGCAAGCAAGTCTGAAAAGTGTTGAGGTTATTGCAGAGTCAGAATTTGCTTTAAAAATAAAGATAAATAGTTTTAAACAGGATGTGATTCCAGTGTGAAGTGAATAGAGGTGTGTGACAGAGAAACATGGAAATACCGAAGCCAGTTACTGCCAACTTTTAAGTAGGGTCATGCTTATAGCCACTGACCTACCTGCCTATTCTACTTGTAAACAAGTGCTGGCAAGTAAAACAGAATTCAAAAATGAGCTACATGAGTGACATGAGTCCTGGGAAAATAATACAGCATGCAGTTCCCAAGGCTCAATCTGGTTTTTTAATCCAAGAGATATTAAGGACTTGAGCATGACATAACAGTATTGCCATGTTGCTCCTCTCAAAATCTATGTAAGCAAGACAACCACAACCTCTGAATCTGTGCAACCTTTCTTCTTAGGAAAAAAAAAAAAAGAGGAAATATCTAGCAAAATTCTTCACATGCTGAGCTCCATTTAACTACTCACAAAGCTTCGTTTAACTACTCATTAACTTCAGAAAGTGCTTATAAAAAGGGTGAGTCAGAAGAAAATACCTCTTCAGCTAAATTAACATTCCCAAATGAATTCCCGTGCCTGCAGCAGAACATTTACCTCAGGTCCCCTGTACCTCACCATCAGCCTTTTCTCTCTTATTTACACCCTACTGTTCAAGACAATTTTTCTTCTAACTGCTGGCAGACAAAGGATTTCCTTTACTTCCATTCCCTTTCATCTGCTTATCAAGAAATTCTGAATTGCTACTGTAGTGCTAGTGCTGATACTTGTTATTCAGGGTCTGACTTTAGGAAAGACAGGGTCATTCTCCCATGTGAGAGTGATATGGGGCCACCACTGATACGAACCATTATGTACTGTAATGACACATGGTACAAACCACAGCAATAACACAAGGATGCACTCAGAGCTGCACAGCCTGGTGCTACAGAACAAGCTTCTGAAACTGGAGTTGCTTTCCAAGCTGGCTGTAAAACTTGCCTCTAGCGAGCTCTGCTCCCTGCCACCTCTCCTAAGAGCAACTCACAAGCATATAAAACCTGCCCAGGTAAGAGAATGCTTTGTATTTTTAACTTGTAATTAGATAGGAGAAAAGTTTTAAAACCTCCCCATCAAAACCTTCCTCTTCAAAGCGATTTACAGCAGATTCATGCAGAGCAGAATATGGTCAAAGGGCTATGCATCTACCCCAGGACAGAGGAAGGTGCTCAAGATGGATGGGCAAGTTCCAAGGGAGGAAGAAGCATGGCACGAGCCTCTTTCAATGGAGGAATGATTGTGCTGAAAGGTAGCTGAGAGTAAACACCTCCAAAATTTTCACACAACATTTCCTTTTCATAATTAAAGGCTAGGGTGATTTTGAGGACAGATTCAGAAAAATAAACTCCCCTTGGTTTTAAATAGGTTAAATTCCATCAGTCCATACAAAATGAGATAAAGTAGTTTGCTTCTTTTGGGGCAACATGCCATTTCCAGGGGAAAATGCAGCAGAAACAAGTTTAGTGGTGCCAAAGAGCAGTGCCCAATTAGGAGATGAAAACATTGCTGCTGTCAGAAATGGCTATATTTTGAATCATCATAGAATCATGGGATGATTTGGGTTGGAAGACACCTTAAAGATCATCTAGCTCCAGCCCCCCTGCCATGGGCAGCGACACCTTCCACCCATTTAACCTGGCCTTCAGCATTTCCAGGGATGGGGAAGCCACAATTTCTTTGGGCAACCTGTGCCAGTCTCTCACCACCCTCACAGTGAAGAGCTTCTTCCTAATGAAGCTAAACTTCCGTATGAAGATAGACTAAGAAAGTTGGGGCTGTTCAGCCTGGAGAAGAGAAGACTGCGTGAAGACCTCATAGCAGCCTTCCAGTATCTGTAGGGGGCCTATAGGGATGCTGGGGAGGGACTCTTCATTAGGGACTGTAGTGATAGGACAAGGGGTAATGGGTTAAAACTTAAACAGGGGAAGTTTAGATTGGATATAAGGAGGAAATTCTTTCCTGTTAGGGTGGTGAGGCGCTGGAATGCGTTGCTCAGGGAGGTTGTGAATGCTACACCCCTGGCAGTGTTCAAGGCCAGGTTGGACGAAGCGTTGGGTGAGATGGTTTAGTGTGAGGTGTCCCTGCCCATGGCAGGGGGGTTGGAACTAGATGATCTTAAGGTCCTTTCCAACCCTAACTATTCTATGATTCTATGATAATATCTAATCTGAACCTACCCTCTTTCAGTTTAAAGCCATTCCCCCTTGTCCTATCACTACCCACCAGTGTAAAAAGTCCCTCTCCAGATTCCTCGTAGACCCCTTCAGGTACTGGAAGATGCTCTAAGGTCTCCCTGGAGCTTTCTCTTCCCCAGGATAAACTCTCTCAGCCTGTCTACATAGTTGAGGTGCTCCAGCCTTCTAAGCATCTTTATGACCCTCCTCTGGATTTGTCCTTCTTACACTGGGGGCCCCAGAGCTGTACACAGTACTCCGAGTCTCACAAGAGCAAAGTAGAGGGGGAGAATTACCTCCCTCAAAATGCTTCACACCAAAAAGCCTTCCCATATTTCAAGGATATGCAATGAGACAAACTCCATCCACCCTTTGTAAAGGTCCACTCTAGAAGACATGTTCACACCCAACTCACCTGGTACGCACTGAACTCAACATAGGGCTCACTAGTTAAGGTAGGTCTTTTCTAAAACACTGAGGGAAGAGGCAGTGTAGGAGGACAAGTGCCTATTTAAGTGACTGGAAAGCACTGAAACTGGCATAAGCGATACTTGGTGCCACTTATAGCCCTGGTTCCCTTGAGTGCAGGGTGAGAGATAAGAAACACAGAGGAAAGCAGCATTCTGAAATAGAGAATTAGGCTATAATAAAGTGGCAACGTGAACCCTGCTGTGAGAGTCTTTCAGAAAACATACTGAAACCTATTTCCTATTAAATGACTTAATAACTATTATTGTTATATCATAATATAGCTGGAGTGAAATAAATGATTAGATATGGACATTTTGTAAAATTCCTCACCTTTTTGATTTAAGCACTATTTAACTCTACAGAGCAGAATTTTCTGAATGGCAATGTCACGACTGTTACATCACAGGTAAAGCTTGTAAATAATTTAGGAAAATATTCACTTGGCTGTTTGCAAGGCATAAGTGAGCTTTCCAGAGTACACAGGACTTGCTTCTCTCTGAGTAAATAACCATCTCCCATTGCACACACATACACACATCCCTTTCCAAACCAGTGTTCTTACCTTATCTTTATTTTCAGAGCCAGAATCCTCAAGTTTGGTCCGAATGACAAATGGAGTAGATAATCTTAGGAGAACTCGTTCAAATGTGGCACTGATTTTAGGAGAAACTATGTCAAAGCAGTCTTGGAATTTCAGAGTTTTATGAGTGTCGCATCTGAGCTGCTTCCTAAGACCTTCTCCAAGCTGGAGAAGCAGCATGTTTGGATCAAACATCAGGTGAAAGGGGAAAGCTCTGCAGAAGGTGCTGATGCTAATCCTCAGGTCTAAGGGAGAATGGGAAGTTCCCAGCGGAAGTGCTTTTGTGATATTTGCATTTTCATGTTCTTTGATAAGGAAAGTCAGACAACTGCAGTTACCTGTGTTCGTCCCCTCTGAACACAACTTATCATTTGTGACCTGTTCTACTTCAACTTCCAAGTGGTATATCTTCTTTGCTGCTGCCTTTATCATTCCCATCATTGCAAATCCCACAATCTGATGTGGGTGAAAGTAATGAAGCATGAGATTGCCTTCAGGGAGCTCTTTGCATAGGAAAGAAGGGGATTCCAGGGTGGCCTGTCTTCCAAATGAAGTTCTAATGTGCTCCAGCAAAGCATCAAAGCCATTGAAGAAATCTTGAAGGGTTCCACCTACAGCTCGAAGAACTCTTTCATTCTCATCAAAGCAGATATTGAAGAATTCCTCCCCAAACTTTTCTTGCATTTCCTCAAACTTCAAACCTATAGGACAATGAGACACTGACATTAACAACATAGTATTGCTACTGTATCACATTTTCATAGAATCATAGAGTTGTAGAATGGTTTGGGTTAGAAGGAACCTTAAAAATCATCTAGATTTTTAGATCCATGGGCAGGGACACCTTCCACTAGACCAGGTTTCTCAGAGCCCTGTCCAGCCTGGGCTTGAACATTTCCAGGAATGGGGCATTTTTCCTTTGTACTCTGCTTGCACAGTATTCTACCAAGTCAGTGAGAGTCACTTTTTACCGGATACCTACCCACAGGACTTCTGTTTTCTCTGGTGGTTGGAATTAACCATAGGAAGCCATTTTTGCCTGTTAGTTGAAGTACTCATGCTTTCAGTTTGCTGTCCTAGGTGACTACTTGTGGGATTTACACTAGTCTCTCTCCCTTTCCCTACTGAAAGACAAGATACATTACAATTTCCCTGACTTTTGCATGCCGCATACAGTCCACTGTGTGAAAAGGGGTGCATCCCTTGCATTGTTGACCTAGTCACAAACGAGGCTTTACTTTTATAGCCCCTCTGTTCACTGTGTGTGAAAGATCCAGCTATCCCCAGCCCAAAGAACAAGCTACTGAAACTCCAGCCTTTGGCTTTCAATAAGCAATGCAAAGCTTTGCAGTCAGATGACAATTTCATAGCTGGGGGAGGGGGGTGGTGTGTGGGGTTGGGTTTTGGTGCGGTTTTTTTTCAAACAAAATACTTTCCTCATTACAGATATTGGGCACTGCCAGAAGATACAAAAGAATAATTACTCTTTTGTTGCCTGTAAAAGAGAGCAAAGCCTTTCCATTTTAGGTTTCTACACTCACCCATCTTTAAAAAAAAACCTGCCTCTTAGAGTGACCTACACTGCTAGTAGATGGGACAGCTCTGTGGTATCTCACAATGCCACTTCAAGACTCCATCACAGAAATTCAAAAGGTTTGATTTACAGAGGTGATAAGGTATGTGCTGCTGAAGGAATGAAAAAATATCAGTGATGGAAGCCCTTGGATACAAATGTGTATCAAATCCTACTCCAGTTTGTTATTTACCATTTTAAGGATAAGCATAAAAATTAACAACTTAGAAAAAGAAATTTTGAGATGGCTGTTAAAAGTTTTCTTCTGTCTTATTTTAGGGAAGACATGCTGTGTTAATTTTCATGCATATATAATCCGTATAACACATAGTAGAATTATAAAATTAAACAGATATGTTTGCATTGTTCTCAGCTGTAATAAAAAAGAAAAATATGAATCAGCTGTATGTGAATTTGTGAATTACAAATATCCAGCAAGAGTTTTCAAATGAAATTAATACAGGAATTTACAACACAGTTCCTTCAGTGTATTGAAATCAAATCAAATCGCAGTTCAGTCATATAGTCAAACAGCTTAAAATTTATCTTTAATTCTAACAGACACGAAGGCAATTTAATTTCCTAAGTGCATAACAGGTACTTTATTTTAATATGTACTCAGCGTGCTTTGTAACACTGATAACATTTCAGTGTATCACTGAACTTCTTATTGTTTGTTTCGATTGCTTGTACACTCTCAAATTTAGAACAGTGTGATTAGTGACTTTCATGCCCAAGAGGTATAACAAGGGACAGAAAAAGTCGTGCATCTGTTGTCTGCAGACAATAACCTTTGATCATCTCAAGGCAGCATCTGATCTGCCTGTGCACATGGGCATGGTTATAATTATCAATATTCAGAAGGAATCTGAGCGTTCCACAGCTTCGCAAACTATCTGCAATGATAGTTTTGTTTGGACCTTGAATATGATTAATAGTAGATTAAAATGCATAAAATTACATCTATAAACAGCAAAACATGACAACATGACAAAGCATGTTTTATAAAAGATGTAATAGTTATAATTTGGGAAAGTTCATTCAGATGCCATTACTCATAATCAAATTTGGGCACTAAACTAGGTTATTACAAAAATATTCCCAGGATCTTTTATGACCACAGATGGTCAGATCTGCGGTTAAGCCAAAAGAAAGTACCGCTGGTACACAATGCCCCCTAATACCCTGACTCAGAGGACAGTGTGCCAATTCCTGACTCATTACCTCTATGTCTACATAACATAGTATTGTAATATCTTCCATAAAAATACTCAATATAGCCCAGAAAGAATCAAATTCTAACCCATACCAATAACTATTGTCCAAATAAGACAATAGTCATAGTTGGATATTAATAGCAAGGAGGCAAGAAATTATATTTGTATGTGTACAAAAACACATATACATACTTTTAAATCTCATTGTTCCATAGAGGGAACTGTGAGTAACTTTAGAAGCCTGTGTGAAAAAGTGAGCAGTCTAGCAAGGGCACCCAAGGCTGTAAGATTGCAGAGGCCCTGAAAGTACAGGAACTGGACAGTGTCAGAAATCCCTGGGCTGTTCATAGAAATGACCAAATCCTGTTACAGAACTATGTAACACCCCACAAAGCTGCCCAAATTGATAGCATAGACAAGCTGTCTTTAAAGGGTGCTATAAAATTACGGTAAAGCAGTCAATTACCCTGGAGCCACTAACTGAAAATAGGGTGTGCAGAACTGATCACTTGTGCACTTTACTGCTACATATGTAAGCACTGCCTCACTATCGGTAATGAGAGCTGTTATCTCAGTATCCAGCCTAAGGTTTTGTGGTTATCTTACATAGGTCTCGCTATCTACTCTGGAGGACTGGCTGTTTGGTGTGGACACAACACACTGACTCCAAGCAACATGAATTTTACTACAAAATTCAGGTCAATGACCTGGCTCAAGGACATCCCACTACTTTTAGAAACATTTTAGCTTTGCATTGAGTTTACACAGTACAAACAGAAAATCAGATTAGCTCAGAATATAAAAATGGGTATGTTTGAACAAACTGCTGGTCCATCTTAGCTGAGAATTTTCTCTCTAATAATAGACACCATGAGATAATGATAAAATCAAGCAAAGTGAAACAACTTTCTAAAACAAACAAGTATAACATACCTATCAGAAAAGTTTCTTTCTAAGCCTCATCAATAAGATGTCAATTTTCGCTTGAAGCATGATGGGTTTTTTTTAAATCAAACATCTTTATCACACAATTTTTCCATATTTCTACAAAGCATTTGCTTTCAGTGACGTGCATGTCTGAATTTGCACAACATACTTAATCTGTATTTTAACTGTCTTATTCCTGCCTTTCCTATTTCAAGAAATGATGAACAGGATCACATATTTATCTAACACTAGCTCTATATATTTCATCATAACTTTTTCATTTACTGCCACATAAATGATCCTAATCTTTTTAATATCTTCTCTGGAGATTCTCTATGCCCCTTTCTCTATGCTTACATCTGTTTAGCTCTCAAGAGACAACAGAAATGACCATCATCATCACAGGGAGAGAAAATGTCAGACTGCATTACATTGCTGTTCAGATGCTCTGAAATCTTGTCTCAGCAGTGACTGGCATCAGATGCTTTAGGAAAACTGTAAAATCTGATGGAAAATCATGAAAACACATGGGTTTGAGAAAGCTTCTCACTAACTGCTACAGTAAATGTTTGGCTTATTCGCTGAAATGGATGGAAGTGCCAGATCAGGAGACAGTTTTACTACATGTAGAAAAACCTGCTTGTTACAAAAATTCCCAGAATTCATTGTCTCTGCCGTGCATACTTTACTACATCTGGAGACCTCCATGGGCTATTTACTATCATTAAAAATTACATTCAGTATGATTTCAAATTCCAAGATATTCAGTATTTCGTTTGGGTTTTTTCTTTTGAGGAAAGGGCCAATAACGTCTTCAAAATAATCTTTTTATAGCCTTCAGGTTACACATATACATAAACAGTCTAATCTTTCCAATCTTGTCTCTTTCTCTGAGTCATACTTCTTTTTTTTGTTATTTTGATTTTGCAGTGGAATAATTCCAACTGGATAATTCCAATAATTCCATATAATTCAAATTCACTGAAAATTTGAGTCAATTTTTAGTCATCAAATCAATGATTTGCTATTCCTTTCTGAAAAGCTGGAACTTCTTTTTTTTCCCACTGTGGACATGTAATCAAAACTTTCATTCAATTGCCCATAAAAAAAATAGCATTTGAGATCTGCATGTGTGCCCCGAACTTCCAAATGCAGAGGCCACTGCGCTCCTATATAGCCTCACGTGTGACCTCAATAACCATAGACAGGCTTCCTAATGGGTACTAACTTGCAATCAGTAGGTAGGAAAAGGTCCTCCTCAGTTCATAGAATCATAGAATCTTTAGGGTTGGAAAGGACCTTAAGATCATCAAGTTCCAACCCCCCTGCCATGGGCAGGGACACCTCACACTAAACCGTATCACCCAAGGCTCTGTCCAACCTGGCCCTGAACACCGCCAGAGATGGAGCATTCACAACCTCCCTGGGCAACCCATTCCAGTGCCTCACCATCCTCACAGTAAAGAACTTCCTCCTTATAGCCAATCTAAACTTCCCCTGTTTAAGTCTGAACCTGCTACCCCTTATCCTTTCACTACAGTCCCTAATGAAGAGTCCCTCTCCAGCACCCTTACAGGCCCCTAGTTTCACCAAGACGCTTCATTAAACAGTAGTGACACTAAATAAACGAAAATTTATGCCAACACTCTTTGCTGTTGCCCAAGTGAAGTAATTTGTTATTTTGAGCTTCTACTATTTACTGACCTTTTACTAATATACTGAATGAAATTCTAAAAATTCATCAGTCTCAATTTGCTTTCTTCTTGGAAAGTGATCTACTGTGTTCCTACCACTTAATCAACTCCTTTGAGAGGACAAATCACGTGTCTTAACTCTAATAAGTTTGGGGGTTTTCCATAGTAGTTTATTTTTGTTGCTTTTTCCTACAATGCTGTTTTTATTGTAGCCTGTACTGGATAGAAATTAAATATGCACATTGTGGAAGGACATAGAGGCAAAGCAACCATAGAATGAAAATACTGCT